CAAAGTAGTGGAAATCGTTATAAAAAATCAAATTTTAGAGCAAACATCAGGATTAATAACAGATAATCAATATGCTTTCAGAAAGGGTCACAGTGCTACACATTTGCTTTTGAAGGCCACGGATTTTATTCGGCAAAATATTAATGAGGGCAAAGTAAATGTATTGGTATCTCTTGACATTTCAAAAGCTTTTAACTCAGTAAATGTTGAACATATGATTACTAAACTAAGGGAAAAATTCGACTTTTCAGTAACCGCATGTCGACTAATCCACTCATATCTTACAGGGAGATTTCAATTTGTTGATGTTAAAGGTTTTCGGTCTGAAACGGTTCCACTTTACAATGGTATTCCACAAGGTTCCGTATTAGGTCCTCTACTGTTTATACTGTATGTAAATGATTTACACGAGTATGTGGAGTCGGAAACTTGCAAAACATACCAGTTTGCCGATGATATATTTCTGATATTTACTGGGTACAATGATAATATATTATTTTTTGAGAGTACAATAAATGCATGTCTTCAGCAATTTTTGTGTTGGGCATCTATAAATTGTCTCACAGTAAACTCGTCTAAAACGAAAGCAATGATGTTTGGTATGTTTAAAAACGTCTTTCCTGATCCAAATATTAAAATTTGTAATAATAAAATTGACTTTGTAACCCACCATAGACTATTGGGCGTAGTTCTTGATAATGAACTATCGTTTCGGCACAATGTAGATACTTTATCTGGTAGAATTTGGGGATCACTAAGACAAATTTATGCATCAAATATATATATGCCTATCAATATTAAGAAGAAAGTAGCTCATGCTATACTGTTGTCAAATATCCTGTATGGTATTGAAATTGTATCAGGTTGTATTGGTATAAATCTTGCTCGGTTACGTAGGACTTTGAATGCTGTTGTGCGTTTTATATATAATGTTCCAGTCAGAAGACCTATATCTGAATATGTAAAACGCTTTTTAGGTTGTTCTTTTTTTAATTTCATTTCTTATCGAAATATACTGACATTTTATAATATAATAAAAACTGGCGAGCCTAAACCATTAACCAGCACGTTTTCTTTTTCACATTCTTCGAGAAACCCTCAAGTGGTGATACCAAGAATTTATAAATCCATTTATGCAAGATCATTTGTAGTTAGGGTAGCACGATGTTGGAATTTATTGCCATATGATCTAAGAATATTCTCCCATTCTAATAATGTGTTTAAAAGAAAACTTCATCTATATTTTGGTTTACTGTAATGATTGGTGGTTTTGAAATTTATTATTCTTCTTTTTACTACTGGTTTACTGGACATAATCTCATCTCTTTTCTTATTATTGTTTGTATTTTATGGCTGGGGAGCCAAGAATAATTAGAATAATTAAAAATTTAAATTTTAGTATTTTATAATGAATATTAGTTTTTATAAGCTCGGGTTTGTTGTTAACTACGTAATATTAAATATGGTCTTATAGGCCTTGTATTACATAAATGAATAAATAAAAATAAATAAAATAAATAAATAAATGTTTTAATTCTGTGACCACCACTGTAGCTAGTTACTATGTTCACTAGTTACTTTATATCCAAAAGTGACACACAAAATAGATAATTGACTTCATTTGTTGATTGAAAAAGCTGTCTAATTCTGTAGTTACTGGTAATGCAAAAAATAGTGAATCGAAAAACAAAACAAAAAAAATTGTCATTTCCTTCAGACTTTTTACAATTTTCAGAATTGTGAAAGCAATTTATTTAAAAAATATTCTTTTAATCATATATAAGTCATATATATCCACGATATACAAGATGAAGTGCTATTGAATTAAAAATCTCGGAATCTTAAAAATACATATGATGAATCTTGGGTAAGTTTTGATATTGCAACACAATAAATACATACATATGTATGTAATATTTCAACATTATTATCTTACAGATTTTCAATAGATGTCACTCCAGAAGCATCCAACAGATTGAGAAAACAATTAAAAGTTTTTAATAGGTAAATATTCTCCAAAAAGATCCATATCTTTATTTATGTACATATATTTTGTAATTTCTATTTCAGATGCTTCAATATTTCAATCACTTCGTAGAAAACGGATGTTAAAAGCGGCCAAGAAACAAAAGAAATGCACATGTCAATATGGCGGCGTAAAAATTCTGATAAAATTAAATGAAACATAAACTATGTACAATATAAATTATGAAATAAATAAAAAATACAATTTCCGTATAACATTTATATTTTCAATTTTACAAACTGTTATAATAGCCAATTTGCTATATATTTGTAACTAGTGACAATACTTAAAAATGGTATCCACCCAAATGACTGGTTACTGGTAATGCAGGCAGGGGACAATTGACTTCCCCAATGACATACCCATGTTAAATTCAACAGTCTAGGGCATGATGTGGTAACTAGTGGTAGTTACAGGTAATTAGTTAAATAACTAGTTCATAACCAGTTACTCGAACTACTGGGAAGGGTATGAAATGTAGGTTTTTATTACATTTTGATACTCCATATTTCCGGAAGTACGAAGTTCTCACCAAAAAAAAAAATTATGTGGTTGTAATCAGCTTCAAAAGGACTATGTGCTGTAAAAAATTTAAACGTTTCGGAGTGGTATTCTTAAATATATTTAATAAAAAGTGGGGGTATTTTTTGAACTTTGGAACCCCATATCTCGGGAAGTACTGATTTCCCCCCGAAAAAATGTATGTTGCTATAATCGGCATCAGAAGGGTTACCTATGGTAAAAATTTCAAAATTATCTGAGAGGTGTCCGTAAAGTGCATTTGTTCCAAAGCGTTAAGTTCGGCCGGGCCGAACTTTGGATACCCTCCACCACAGGTATACTGACAGGTATTTGAAATGAAAAAGTGGACCGATATTTATAATTTTAAATAGAGATATTTGGTACCCAATATGAACCCACTGTACCAAATTTCAGCGAATTCGGTTGAAAATCGCGCTTAAGAACCTCAAAATACCGAAAATTTGGGGTGCCCTTATATGGGGGCTACCAGAAAAAGTGGGCCGATATTTATAATTTTTAGTAGAGATATTTGGTACGCAATATGAACCCAATGTACAAAATTGCAGCGAATTCGGTTGAAAAGCGCGCTCAAGAACCCCAAAATACCGAAATTGGGGGGTACCCTTATATGGGGGATATCCGAAAAAATTGACCTATATTTAAATTTTTTTGTGGAGAGATTTGGTACCTGCTAAGAACTCAAAATACTAAATTACAGCCAATTCGGTGAAAAATACGATAAAAACCCAAAAAATACTGAAAATTAGGAGGTACCGTTATATGGGGGCTACAAGAAAAAGTGGACCTATATTTATAATTTTTTGTGGATACATTTACTACAAATTCGCTTGAAAAAAGCGCTCAAGAACCCCAAAATACCGAAAATTGGGGGGGTACCCTTATATGGGAGCTATGCCTAAACGTGGACCGATATATCCCATCTTCGAACTTGACCTGCCTACAGACAAAAGACAACCCTATGCAAAATTTCAGCACCCTATCTCAGAATTTTACCCTGATCAAGAATATATATACTTTATAGGGTCGGAAATGAATATTTCGATGAGTTACAAACGGAATGACAAAATTAATATACCCTCCATACTATGGTGGAAGGTATAAAAACTACAGGAACAGACCATTTGTGGCGAAGGTTTGCGTACGACGTCGCTTGAGTCTTGGCAGAACGACGATTAACAAGCGAATTTTATGAAGGCTGGAGTCTTGGAGGCTTCCCACTGTTCTTTTGAATCTCTCTCTCTTATTATTTTTTTTTTCGTTTTTCCATATATAGTGCCTTTGCTCCATATAGTTCCTTTGCTCTTTATAGTTCCTTTGCTCCATACAGTTCCTTTGCTTCAAATAGTTCAAAAAAGGAACTGGATCAGAGAAAGGAATTATATTAATTAAAGAACTGGAACTAGTTCCGTTCGTTCCTTTCTCGGAATAGTTCCAATGAACTAGTTCGTTCCGTAACTACCCATCTCTACTTATCCCCAGGGATGGAAAATGAAAAATGTGAAAAGGTACCAAAAAAGTACTTTTTATACTAAAAGAGTACTTTTTTAAGAAAATACAAAAAAAAATTTTATTCAGTTTCATAAAGATCTATTTTCAAGATATCATCACTTAGTCTATGTTTCTGATGGTAATAATATGAGAATTTTTGCTTCTTTCGATTGCATTTGAATATGTATGCTATTGACTAATTTTAATTTCACAAACTCTTTCCAATATACCCCAAACTAACATGAATTTCAGTTCTAAAGTGCTCTTGAAATTATTGAAGTAATCACGACGACTATAAATGTCATCAATTTGCCTACCTCAGGAGATAGCACAGAGTACGCCAAATTGAGTATCTGACAAACATATCCGGTTAAAAAAGATTGGAACTGATAAATTAATTTAATGTTTGTAATTTTAATCATAACTGAACAGTTATCAATCGTAAACCCATTCATTTTTAAGAAGAATATTGCAATCACATCAAAATCTTTATCTGTAAATACTTTTAAATCCATAACAAATTCTAATCCAAAAACAAATTATATATCATGGTTTAATGGAGGACTGGAATGGTACTGAAATGGCCACGCGGTACTGCGGTACTTTTTTGGGTAAAAAGGTACTGAAAAAATACTATTGTACTGAATTTTCCATCCCTGCTTATCCCTATTTCGATCAGAGAAAGGAATTATATTAATTAAAGAACTGGAACTAGTTCCGTTCGTTCCTTTCTCGGAATAGTTCCAATGAACTAGTTCGTTTCGGAACTACCCAACTCTACTTATCCCTATCTATTTCGCGCGTTTTTGTGATTATTTTTGCAGTGCAGTTGTAGAGCTTGAGCATATTTTTGATTTGGTGACATTTTTGTTTTGTTAATTAAAGTTAGGCCTTTTTATTGTTTACCACACCGGTTCCGCCAAACATAACTCTACGTTTTGCAATTAAGATTTGCGAACGATGCGCAATTCTACAGGTGGAACTTCGTCGGCTAAAAAGAGTCATAATAACACAGCTTCAAACAATGATGAAAAGAACAGTGCCAAGAAATTAGTGCAAGCACGATTGCCGTTCAAAGTTATTGCTCCCGGCTCATCGCCTACCATTGCTGCCGACTCAGCTGCTACACCCAAAAAACGAGAGGCGCTAAAAGAGGGCAAGACACCGAAACAAGGTACACAAAAGGAAACAAAAGATGCCCGAAAACGCAAACTTTCATACGAATCTGAAGATGAAGCGCAAGAAGTTGAAGAAGTCGATAATGTGAGTAAGGAAAATGTCGAAGTTAAGAGTGGAGCTACGGTTAAAAAAAAGAAAATTACTTCGACGGCAACGAATAATGATGATGATATTGAATGCATCTCCCTCTTGGATGATGAACAAGATGAAACAAAGGATACAGCGCGAACAGATGCATCATCCTCGAAGGCAGCATCAGCATTGAAAACGCCCAAAGCAGGAACCAAGGGTAAAACCAAAGGTGCTGGAACACCACAACCAACAGCAACGCCCGGAAGTGAACACAAAGGTAAAGGTGGCAGTAATCACAATTCAAAATTGCAAATTAAATTGCCTCTCAGTGCTGGCAAACGGAATAAACGTCGAAAATCAAAAGCCAATAATTCATTGGCGAACACCTCGGCACTGGACACATCGCTACAGAATAATTCATGTGCCGATTCCTGTGATGACATTGAAGAAATATCTGGGGAATTGAATCCACAAAAACGGACTAAGTTAGACTACGAAGAAGAAGAAGCACCACAGCAAGCGAAAGGATCAACAGAAGAAGTAAGTGTAGTTTATTGTGAATATACCTATTATTATGTAGAGTTCGTTCTGGTGTCAATTTATTTAAAATTCGTATAAAATGAAAATTTGTCTTTACTCGTCTTCCTTGATCTCTGATATTCCTCAAATCCTTAAGAAAGTACAGTCAAACATCGACTCTATATCTGATTAATATCTGATATTTGTCAGATATTTTTTAAAGTACAGTCTCACATAGACTATATCCGATTAATTAATAGATAATAAGGGCGGATAAGACGATAATTGTATATTATCATAGTTCAAATACGAAATGAAATGTTATTAATATTCTTCTTATCCTATCCACCTTCGGTGAATTACTAATTCCTCAAACAATAATAAAAATACACCAAAATTCTCCTTCGACACGCATTAAATATTTATAAATAAATTTGTCCAATACTATTTATTTGATATTGTAATTATTTATGTTTTTTTAATTGTAGAGTAAAGAATCTGTTCGTTTGGAAACCGAATCCAGCTCTGACGAATGTAAAAAATCAGAAAAGGCAAACGAATCTCGTAAGACATCAACGAAATCTGAGTCAAGTAAAGATACTAAGAAGTCCGAAACAAAAACATCTAAAAGCATTAAGGAGATATCTGTTATAAAAAAAGATGGGATTACAGAAAAAAGTATTGTTATAGATAGCGATGATGATGATGATAAAAAGAGTGATGCTGAGGCAACAGAAGATGATGATAAGAATGGTGATGATGATGAAGAAGAAGAGAATGATGACGACGATGATAATGATGAAGATGCCGATGATGAAAGAGAAAACAATGCCACCAACCGGAATTCTTCAAACGTATCTACGGAAGAAGAATCGAAGACATCGAAACACAATACCACAATTGAGTCCATTAAGGCCGACAATGAATTACTGAAAAATAAGAATTTAACACCCAAACAAAAAAAGCTTTTGGAGCAACGTCAAAAAGCGCGAGAAGAGAAAGAGCGTAAAATACAAGAAGAAAAGCGAAAGAAGCAACAGGAGAAAGAAGAAAAGGAGTTGGCAAAAAAACGTGAGCGTGAGGAGAAAGAGGAGCAAAAACGCAAAGAACGCGAAGAGAAAGAAGAACAGAAGCGTAAAGAACGCGAGGAAAAGGAACGAAAGCGTCTGGCCGAAATAGAAGCAAAGAACGAGGAGAAACGGAAACGAAATGAAGCTAAAGAAGAAGAGTTGCGGAAGAAAGATGAAGAACGCAAGCGTAAAGAGCAGGAGAAGGAAGAAGCCGAAATGAAGAAGAAGAAAGCAGCCGAGGCTTTTACCAAATTCTTTGTAGCCAAAGCTCCTTCCAGTAATCAACAAAACCTTGACGATGATGAGAATACAGGAGATGGAACAAAAAGCTTGGCTTTTCGTCCATTTCAAATCAAGGGTGATATGAAATTAGCACCAATATGTCGTAAAATCCTCTCGGAGGATGCCAAAAATCGTATTGATCATCTGTTAGGATTGCGCGAGGATGATGAGGATATTGTTCGGACAAAGCCACTGCCGAAATCCAAGTTATACTTGTCTGAGCTACGTTCTGGTCAAATATTACCTGGTAAATGGAGACGACCCTCAACAGACTCAAAGGATGATGTAGTTATAGTTGGTATGTGAAAACATTGAACCATTTTAAATATATTGTTATATAAACTATTCTAAATTGTAGAAGATGAACTGGAACGTGTTGGCGAAGCCATTGTGGAAGACACCCCGGCATATATTCGTGAAGAAATGCGAGTTAAATTCTATAAATTTCATGACAATCGTCGTCCTCCTTATTATGGCACATGGCGTAAAAAATCCAAAGTTATTACAGGAAGGAGACCATTTGCTCAAGATACGGTGAGAAATTTTTTACGATTTTTCCATATGGTGTTTTATAATAGTTGTCTTTTCAATATTCTAGAAATTCTGTGATTATGAGGTGGATTCTGATGATGAATGGGAAGAAGAGGAACCCGGCGAATCACTTGAGGATGCCAGTGATGATGACAAAGAAAAAGAATCAGAAGATGACGATTATGAGGTTGACAATGAATGGTTCGTGCCACATGGACATCTGAGTGAGGAAGAAATGCAGAATGAAGATGAACTCGGTGATGATTGCAATGACCGTGAAGCACAAAAGGCAAAACTTAAAATAATACAACAAGAATTTGCCCAAGAAATGAAAAAGAAAACCGAAAAAATAAAGCCACGTCTAATTGGTTGCATATGGATCAATCGGGATGGCAAACAACCCGAATCATGTCCAAGTATTATCTGGGAAAAATTAAATACAAAGGCGATGTTATGTACAGATCCCCCCTTATTGGAAGAACCAGAACTTGAGGAACCTCTCTCGCCAACTGCATCCAATACAGGAAATGAGAAGTCCTCTGCCGTTGAGAAAATTAAGCCTGTCACAATAACTGATGCCATGATTAAAGACCTAGTGAAGCTGCTGCATGGCAACAATAACTCCAAGGCATTCCTAATTAAGGAGTTCATTGCATATATAGCCAAAACTGAAGAGTCAGTAATAAATGGTGAATTCGCCCACCCGCTGAAAAGTGTAATACGCGAAAAAATAGATTCCGTGGCCGAATGGCAAATTGTAGATGCCCAACCACAAACCAATGAAGATCTTAATGAAAGTCTGAAGAAAAAGAAGAAGACCAAGAAGCGTCTTTGTTGGGTTGTTAGCCAAGAAACACTTGATAAATTGAATATGTCCTCATTAAGTCTGCAAAATGATTGGGAATACACTTTGAAACCAAGATTAAAGGTTGACAAAGGTGAAAGTGCAAAATCAGAGGAGCGAAGTGAAACAGTGGAAACAAACGATGAGAACAAATGCAACAGTGCACCGATCAACAATACTGTCGACAGCAAAGACTCAAAATCGAAGTGTATAAATTCTCCCATAACTAAATTTACAAAAGTCTTAACGAAGGCCGATGAAAAGGCCAGCAAAGTCGATTCAAATTCCACATCCTCTACCACTCGCAATAAAGCTGACAGTTCCCCTAAAGATGTCACAACAAGTAAAAAGTCATCAGAGACTAAAGCCAAAACTTCACCACCGAACACATCAAATAAGGAAAAGAAACGACTATCGTTGCCATCGTCCGTGGGTCGGGGTCAACAAAGTTCGACACCGGCTAAAAATAAGTTAATCAGCCAATTTTTACAAAAGGGAAGCAACAGCAACAAAACGTCGTCTCCAACCACAAATAAAAGAAATCCAAACAAATCAGTTGTTATAAATGGTGACGATGACCACGACGATGATGATGACGATGTTATAATCTTGGACTAACATTGCAAATTCTACACTATAATTGTATTGCCACTGGTTTCATCTCATTAGTGCCCATGAAAAATGTTTGAAATTTGATTATTTATAAATTTGGATTGTCCCCTATTGAGTTTTGTCTTTTTCACATACACATTAGGCATTATGTTAGGTGCTCCGATATATTGTATTCATATATGTTAGTGTTTTAAGTAATCTATCTAACGTTTATTACATTTTAGTTAACAACACGTAGATGTATTTTTACAAAATAATTTTTATCATTTATAACATGCAAAAGAAAGAAAAAAACACGCAGTCCCGCACTTTAATACATGTAGGAAACGTAAGGAAAAAAAACCCATTAAAGTTTGTAATTTTTGAAAGTGTTGCAAGTTTTACACTGTGCTCAAACAACAAATAAAAAATGAGTGTTAATAATAAAAAGGATAATTTTTTAACAAAAATTTAATTCCAATTGTTTCGAATCAAACCTTAACGTCTTTTAGTCCAATTTCTTAAACCAGTCGTATTTCTCCAGCCACTTGTGTACAACTTTTCCGCAGACATACAATTCAAGCTGACTACTATCCTCCGGGTCATCGAAATTTGCATCATCCATTGAGTCGTCCTCGTCATTACCACGTTGTTGCTGTTGATGAAGTGCAAAATCAAATGCTATTATTGAGTGTAATAAAAATAAACTGCCACAATAAAGAGCTGCAATACTCTGAACTTTTGAGTATTTAAAAAATGAATGTGGTTCATCCACGTTTTCATCGTCGTCATCCTCATAGTCTTGTTGTTGCGATATTAAGTATGTTAAATAGAAATCCTTTTCCGCATGGTACATACTATCCAATGAAACTCCGAAGAAACACACAGCAGCCAACACATTTAATACAACTTCCCACCAAGGATTTGTGTTGTTAGTTTCCTTCAGACAAATGGACAAACAGCCACACATGGCCATTAATGTGAAGCCACCGAAAACAAGGCAATAAATGTAATGACTTTGCACAAAATTGACACTGAGAAATCCTCGGCTATGATATGTCAGACAAATGAGACATAGTATGCTCTCCATAAATTTAAAGAGGAAACTGACTCTTTGCATGTTTTTATTTGTGGAAAAAATATTTTTTTTTTTAATTTATTTTATCTTTAGCGTATACAAATCGTTATAATTGCAAAAGGTTGGCAATGCCGTTAATATATTTATATATATAGCGACATCTATTACTTTGGAACATTCCAACTAATTGTAAGTGTTACCACATTTACCCTGATTTTCTGACGATGGGGCAATAGTAAACTTGTGTGTAAATACACATACAAACTACACAATCTCCCCTAACCAACGGCATTCATTACTGAGTTATAGCCATTTCAAGTTGATCTTGTGTTAAAATATAGCGGCTACACGATTCTGTTGGCCTGGTACATCAAATTGGAAAAATGAAGAAATCGCACATAGTCAAAAACATAAAATACTGACTGCAATGTTACCAGATCGCTGCTACCATAGTGTTTTAATGTCAGTTTATGAATTCTGAGCATACTTTTAGGCGTTACATTAAAATAACGAGCCATATAACTTTCAGATGGATATCATTTTAAATGATGCGCCTGAAAGTATGCTCAGGATTTGTAAACCAACCATCAAATCAAAGAAGAATCGAACAATGTGGCAATGATGCTGCTGTTTTGTTTGTACTTTTTCGCATTTGTGAAAATGTCAATTTCAACCATTTTTCCAATTTGAGGTATCAGGCCAACAGAATCGTGTAGCCGCTATATTTTGACACAATGTTAACTTTAAATTGCTATAACTCTGTAATGAAGGAACGTATTGACATCAAACTTGTACTATTGTTTAGGGGAGATTGTGTAGTTTCTATGTGTATCGATAAACAAGTATTTTCATAACGGAGAACTATGAAAATCATGATCGTTTGCAAAAACGTTAAATTATCTTTGAATGGCTGGAAATTGGTGTATTTGAGCAAATTTTCATATTAGATTGTTGCTGAATGCTTGTTGTCATTGGGAAATTAATTAATTTTGAGAAAAATAGGGCTATTAAGGAAATTTGTAGGAAATAAAGAAAACATGTTGTGGTGCAAGTTTATCAATTTGACATCATTTCAATTGGTAAAATGTTGTTCCCATTCACCGATTTTCCAATCAAAGTGGTTTTAATTTAATATTACAGATTTCGAAGGATAAAATACCACCTTTTGGCAGATATTTATTAATATATGTATGTGTGTAGTCCATAAATATCGTTAGCTAAAATGCAAAAAGGCGTAACTAACAAAAAAATTTAAATTTGACTTTTTGAATGAATATTGTGAATGTCAATAAACTACATGTGTTGACAAAGTCAATTTCAATTTTTTGTTAGTTACGCCTTTTTGCATTTTAGCTAACGAGATATAAATGTCCCGAATGATTATAGATATTTTGTTGGTCCTAGCCGTATATTCCAACCAAAGTGACTGAGTTTTCACCCCATTTTATGTATCTTGGCAGAATATTTCACATATTTGGGCATGGTTTTACGCATGGTTCAATAGAAACTCTGAAAAAATCTAGGTATTTTAAAACACACATGAGCATATACTTTTTTTACATTTATTTTTATAAATACACATAAAATCTGTTGAGTGGTCGCTGAGTTATTTGCATTCAACGATGTTCCAAAATATACTTACTGATCTGTGCTGGGCCCCTGTTACCTGAAACTAAAAAAACCCACACAAAAATTTTTAAAAAACGGCATTTTTTGGTCTGTTGCCGTACTACAAGAATCTACTAGATTTTACTATTTTCTTCGATAACATAGAGGAACATTCGTTATTGTGGTAAAAAGTAGTAGATTCTTGCAGTACGGGAACAGATCAATTATTTATTTATTCATTCAGTAATAAGGAAGCCTTCACGGCCAATATTATTTCATAATTGCTGCTGGTTTGTAAAAAAAATTGTAGCAAAGATTTCGATCAAACACAGTTTGTATTTGGCCGGATTTTTAAATTAATAGGTGATTGTTTTTATTTTATTAACCATTGCTGTGCACATTTTTGCATTTCGTATGACCTTTTCCAGCAGGATGTTCAAAAGATCACACGACAAACTGTCACCTTGTTTGAATCCTCATTCGATATGAAACGGTCCTTTCCGGCTTTAACTGCTGAGCTTGTGACAGTTTATGTTATCCTGCATAGCCGTATTTATTTGGGATGGTATCTTAACGGTGACAAATATATTAAGTTTTCTTATTGGAGTGCACTTAAAATCGGCGGCCAGTTTAGAAAAATTATTAAAAATAAATAATCGCTCCATTAAAAAAAATCAGACATTTATATTATTATTTTTTTTTTGCTATATTTATTTCCAGTTTTTCTTAATACGAGAATACATTTGTCATTATCATCATCTTTGTCCATTACTAAAAATGTAGATTTTTTTGTTCTTTTTTTAAATAAATCATCTTTGAAATAATATATAAAGTAAATATAGAGGTTTTTGTATGTGTATGTGTGTATATATATGCGCGTTATATCTTTGTCCCTAAAAATGTAGATTTTGTTGTTCTTTTTTTAAATAAATCATCTTTGAAATAATATATAAAGTAAATATAGAGGTTTTTGTATGTGGTGCTAATAGTATATATGTATGTGTGGTATGTAATGTTTATTATGTACATGTATTTTATTATTGTTGTTGTTGTTTTCTTTGAATTTTGAATTTTCGCATCTATTACAAAACTCTAAAAAATAAAGAAGAAGATTTATGTCATCTTTATTGACAGTTATTTTTTGTTGTTTTAATTAATATTAATAAGGCATATGATATAATAATAATCATAATAAAAATAGTGTTTATTTTTTGTTAAATACATAATATTCATCAACTTGTTGTGGTTTCTTGTGTGCCTGTGTATATGTGTGGTGTCAGGATGTATGTGTCATTTGAATGAATCGTAAAAGACTGTACAAGTATTCTACATATCAACAAAATATATGAAAGTGTCGCGTTTTTTGTCTTTTTTGTTTAACTACTCACTATCCTTTTGACATAAAAAATAAACAACGAAAAAACCTATACCTAAATATACATACATATCTTCAAGTATATGCGTGTGTGTGTCAGTGTATATTCATATCCATTTATTAAAGACTAAACCTAAAATATTAGTTAGTACTACTTCATTGATTTTCAAAAGTGTCCATATTGATGATTGCCACATTATTGTTTGTTGTAGTAATACGAAGAATACCTTCACATTTCATTTTGTTTCCTTTTGTTCTTGCCCTCAGGCATTACGTCTTCCGATCTAAACGTATATCCTCTTTGAAGAAATATTTTTTATTTTCTTCTCGTCAAGGAATACTCAATGGCTTAAAATAAGCACGACAGAAAATTGTCGCAGCGGATGGAGGTAAATCCTGATTACGATAATACATGTTACATTCCTTTTCGGTTAGTTTGTCAAATACCGCAGCATATTCACGATGAAATGTGGCCAAATCCACATTGGAGCGACCAATAGCCGTTAGAGCCAAAAACAATATGTCACGATATATTGAATGAGAACGATCCACACCACTGTGCTTTAGTTTGTGTCGTTCATTTGCCAATTTTTTAACGGGCATCAATAGATCATTGCATCGAATGGCTGTGACAATTTGTTGGATGACACTGTAAGAAAAATAAGTTGTTTTGGAAAATTATTAAACGGATACGAGTACTTGGATTTAATGAACTCCATTTTTGAAAACGACCTGAAAAGAGTTCTAAAAGGACAAATTTCCGAAGATATACTTTTAAAAATTATAAAAAAGATATTGATATTGCGGCTACTGAAAATGAAAAGAAAATAGTTTTTGTTTTTCATTGTCTACTTCCGGCTATATGCTCGGAACGCAACGTGTGGCCCTAGTCCACACGCTGGACATTTGTTAGATATCATGCCAACAATTCGTGCCCAATACGAATTGAGGCAGTCATTACTCGAATTTGTCTGGGCTGCTGTTTCCCCTCTGCGACTATATAGATGGAGATTGGCCTGCAATTTTAGCACTCCTATGGTATTTTTCTACTGCTTGGACGACTATATCTGTATGAATGCTGTTGATCTCTATGATCATGAAGATAGCTCTTTGTGTACCAGGGTGCGGGCAGTCTGCACATAAGTTTATGGCAGGCGATAAACTGCAAGCTGGTACTACACCCTCCTCGTGAAGTTCTGTTGCAGCTCTCAGTGTGACTTTTTTTTTAATTTTCTTTCACTTCGTATTATAAACATTCGTAAAACACATGGTATCAGAACTTGTTAGCCTGCTTGCACAACTTTCACATGCTTGTTTTTGTTGTAGCAGTTTATATAAATATAGTTTTCTTGTTTAAATTCAATCCGGTTCTGTCTCCAAGTTAAGAAATGCAGCTACTTCCACTGGCTGCAACCACAGATCTTCAGGAATAAGACTAGAAGATTTGGCTGGACAATTGAATAAATGCAGAGTGGTATGTGGGCCCGTACCACATACTGGGCAGACATTATGCACCTGGTCATCAATCCTGAACGTAATTGGGCCAAAAGTACTCTGGTTTGTCAGGGCAGCTGACGTTCCTTAGCGGCTATGAGGTGAGCTCCCAGGACGGCATTCATTCTGTGTCCGTTCAGCGCTGCGGTAACTGCATAAGTATGAATGCTATTCAGATGATTGTTCCTGAAGCACCCGAGCAGGTACTGCAACGAAAGCATATTCCTATGCTGACGTAAGAGAAGGATCTTCGTCTCTTCCTGAAGTTTGTCCACTTGTGTTGCAGTCCTCAGGGCGGCGTTTTGACAGGTCTTAATACTTTTCCTCGACCTATCGCTTTTTAAGATGTCAACAAGGTTTCCTTATCTACGCCCCAAATGCTGCCGCAAGCGCAAGCGCAAGCCTTGTTCCTACTTTTCAACTTATCGCAGATAGCGGTGGTTTGCGCGGACGATTTAAACATACTGTCGAGTGTGACCCCGAGTATTTTGGGGTAGTTGGTGGTCGGAATTGTATGCCCCTCGATCTGCACATTAAAAGGCGTTCTCACCTCCGCAGTCCATGTGGTAAATAATGTGGCTGACGACTTCGTGGCGGATATTTTCATATTCTCGCTTTAAAGAAGGCCGCTAATTCGACGAGAAAGGCGTTCAACCTCACACACATTTCCTCAACAATGGGACCCGACGCCATGATACAATCATCCGCATATGATTCGTGGAATACCGGAAAGGTAGACAGTTCCGGAGAAATCACTCCACCCTGGAGAACTCCCTGTTTAACTCTAGGGGTTTGGACTTCTTGTTTCGGAACTCCACGTAAGACTGGCGTCCACACATGTAGTTGATTATCCAACGTTTCAAACTTCGGACGGAGGGAAGTGCTCTCGATGTCCTCAAATAACGTGGCATGATTGTCAGTATCAAAGGCTTTTCATAGGTCAAGCGCTACCAACACTGTTCTATCGTACGGCCGGTTCTGGTTAAGTCCTCGACTTATATGTGGAGATGGCGTGCAACGCTGTTGTTGTACTGTGTTTCTTACGGAATCCATGTGGATGATTATGTGGATGGCAAAAGAGAAGTGGGGAGTTCATTTTAAATACTCGCCTCACTATTGATCCACTTCTTTGAATATTGTCATAGATATTCCGTTTGGGTATTCCATAAACGGCCGACTAAAAAATCGCTCATGCAGGTCAGATGGTCTAGTCACTATATTTCCGAGTTGTGTCGATTTTACGGAAATTCTTCTTATCTCTGTGGATCTCAGGAGATGAGCAGATGTTTCTTAAACCATGCCAGTCACATAGCCCATGACATATGATGGGGATTCGGTAAATAACGCAGTGTTCAAGTTTTCATTGGCGGTATGTATTCACAGCAGTAACACAGCATTCATTATTCATGCCGCATCCGTTGCAAAATAAATATATTTATTGAGTTGGTAGCATCTGATCGATATGTTCCTTAGAGCCAATCTAACTTCAACTTCCTTCTCTGTTAGGAAACATGTTTGTTTCGATATGGCAAGTCCGTCCTTCATATAGAAACAGGTTTTCAAAAAAGATGCATCCGCAATTTTTTTTACAGTGAAATCACTCATTTCTATTTTTTCAATTGTAAAAAATTGCGGATGTGTCTTTTTCGAACACCTATTTGTATATGAAGGAGATGCCAGATCGAAACAAATGTAACATGTCTTCAAAACAGAGATGTAAGTGTCCAAAACACTTAACTTTTTCTGTTTATACCGCGTGTTTTTTTTTGTGTTAGGCTAAGAACTTTCCGAACTACCCTCGTTTAGCGGAATATTTGGCTTTTTTTTATCATTTTATCACAGATATATATTGATATATTGACAAAAGACCGAATTGGTCATATTAGGCGCTTTCAAACTATATTTTTGGTGTAGTGATTAACTTTTTTACATACACAAATAAGCATTCTGATATACTTACTTCTTGTTCAGTTGAGCCTGATCGGTGAGCAATGCTTTTATAAGTGGACTTGTAGTTGGTGTTTGCCTATGCAAAATGTACATGGGTAAACCGGCTTCGCTGTGCAACTGCAAATTATCCCATAGACATTGAATTTTCACATGCTTCACTTTGCTAAGGGGATCAATATTGCCATCATCCTAAGAAAACGAAAAGTTTAAATATTTAGTTTGTATTGTTTAGTTTTTAGTCCTACTTAGAAAATATAAGCTATGTTGTTAAGATCGGATTTCAATAAATAAATAAATATAATAACAAAAACACATTGAAAACCTACCAACGGTGGACAACACAAATCGGGCAAATGTGTTTTACTTTCAATGCGCTCCATAATCCACAACAAATTCCAATATATTATAGGATGTTCTTCGACAAAATTCGCCTTAAGCAATGCCAAGTCACCCTCCTGTGTCAAAATGTTTTCCAATTCTTTGCGTAGAACTAGCGGATTCAAATATGGTATAGGTTTTTTATTTGTTTCATCGTTTTGTTTGCTGGCATCCTGTGCAATAATGCGTACACTTAAAAAGGGGACGGTTAGTTTATTACATGCATGACATGTTGTATTCAAATTGGAGTCTTCGGCTGACCAGCCGGACATGATTTCTTCGTCATAGAGTAAGACGGAACAATTGTGGCATTGAGAACATGATGTCATTTGTATAACAACATCGCAATCGCTGGTATCTTCTAGGCCCTAGTACAACAAACAATTTTCATGGAATATTACCAAAAAAGATACGATTTTTTTTTCAAATACTTACATCTTCCGGAGGTGTATAAAGATTATCGGGTAACGAAAGTAGAGCTGTATTTAAATTCATTGTCGATGTATTTTCGCCCAGAGGCACCAAGTTATTGTAACTTGATTTGCGCGATTCACTTAAACGGCTCCATGGATGTTCCAAGTCGCTTGATACTCTACGAATTTTCAATGTACCATCTTCGTGGGCAATCATATCCTCTTCACTGACCCCACTGTCTATATAATTTTGCCCTGAACTACTGGACTTGACAGGTGTTGTATTGGCCGATATGGCACCCTTAATTTCATCGAATTTCCTTGTTATGGAAGTGGCGGCATGTTTGATGCTGCTTAAACTTCCTTGGATAATTTCATTGGATTTTTTGCCAGTAAAACTTGGACTGGAAAATATACAATTCACAGAACATGATGTTATAACAAATTAAAAACAACAGTATAGTGTGTATTATTATTTAAACATGTTAAAATAGTTTATAATTACTAAAATGAGGTGACACACAGAAAACAAAACAAAAATGAAAAGTGTACGAATTAGTGACATTAAGATTTTGAAAAGCACCCACCACCACAACAAAAATCTATTCGATAATTTCATTAAAGACACAAACACACATAGAAACCAAAAATAAATCAAGAACCAAAAAAGGACTAGTCCTATTTTTGCATTAGGGAACTTTAATAGCACATAGTCTCAGTTTGTTGATCGAGAGGCTGGCTCTACCACACAAACTACAAATTATGCAGCAATTGAAATTACCTAATGCAAATACCAATCTTATTTTTTTGTAGCCACGTCCCCTTGCTTTTTCGCCAATACTCACCTCATGTTTTGAGCAATATTTTCAATAATATTGGTGGGCAATTTCAAGTCTTTCTTAAAGGTGGACATGCGTGCAGGTGAATAACGTCTACGATAACATTTTACAATTGGATAGGTGTGTATAGAAAAACAAAAAAATAATGAACATCAATGAAATAGAATGATCAAATTAAAGGAAAAATTAAAAAAAAAAAAAACTTAATAAATCCAATTATTGGTAAAATTAAAAATTATTCTAAAAATATTTATGTATATTTTAGCTTTTTAATAGAAAAATATGTAATAGAACTTTTTCTAGCATTTCAAATAAGGGCTAAAAACTGAGGTTGACTGCTTGATATGAATATATGTATATACATATATAAATTTGAAATGATGAACTAAAATCGTTATAAGCTTTATTTTCGTATAAAAATGTGCTTACAAAAATACTCATAATAAGCAGATAAGATCATATAAAATAGGATTAATCATTTATAAAAATACGGCAATGAAAAAAAAAACACAAATAAAAAGGTTTCCGACGGTGTTGCCGACAGATAAATAGCCTCAGCCAATCCAATTAACCTGTCTTCGCCAGAACTACTGCATCGTCTTATTATTTCGACTTCGCTCAATGTTTTGTGTCCGGTTCCATTTCCATAGAAACTTAAAAACTAATAGATATGTACGGACGGAATCACTAAAATGGAATATACGACTCAAAACGACATGATTTGTTTCAACTACAATGAAGTTGACTCAATATCACGGCAACTTTTTTTATATGGGTCGGGTTGACTAGAAGCAAGATTTCAGACTCTGTCACCCTCTCGTAGACCCGAGTCTTACTCGACCAACGTCTGTCACCTCAGCCTATTGTGTAAAATCAATAGGGCTGCTACAACAACTACCTAAACAATACTCATGGAAGTGATAGTATATCACTGAATGCCTAATCCGATACAAAGAAGTACCGTGATACAAAGAAAGACTCAGAAGCAGTCTTCCGCCACATGCCAATTGCGATGAGATGCAACGGATGTTGAGAATGATTGCAGTTTAGTGCAGGAGTTATATTGTCCCAGGCATCGTCGAAGTTATTGTTTAAGTACATGTATGAATCCGGAGTTGAATTTTTAGTATCAATATCAAAATGTCCTTAGGCATTTCTTCTGTAAGCTGAATGATCCCTACCAACAAGAGTTTTACAGTATGGATTACCGACTGAACCCAAACATTTATAGTTCCATTTTGACTGCCATACAACCTTTCGGTTATATTTGAAAAGTTATGTATGGACATCATTCGAAGACTCTAGAATGAAATATGGATTATCCCAAGGTGTGGCAACTTCTCCTTAACTATTCAACTAGCTAGCTTTCCGACTTTTCTTAACCAGAACGCGCAATAGATATTGTAATACAATTGATTGCACGAGCAAGGATGGATTTTAAATTGTATTTTGATCATCTTCGTTGATCAAAATATGCGTCACCGCAAAACATTCACTCCACACCCATTTATCTATTTAAACCGTCCAACTGTAAGTCTATGTTATTTGGAAATGCATTTTTTTTTTAACTTACCCAAAATTTATTTTAAACGATGATCCCAAATTTGCCAAACTTGAAGCAACACTCGATCCAGGCATTGTTTCGGAACGATGCATTTTATTCAATTGTGTCGATTCGTCAAATGTGGCACTGCGTTGACCCTTAAATAGTATTGGTTTATCGCTGTATAAAGTATTATTGTTATACGATGAATTCATGTCGGACGTATGATCTTGTGTGGACGTTGCGGTATTACTAGGAATGGACGGTTGTTCATCTTCATTTAAGGCTCCCAAGGGATCATTTTGTGTGACCGGGGTTCTTGGAGATATCCTGAGGATAAGGATAATGAGAAATAGAGAAGTGCAACGAAATTATAAATGGGTATTTTGTATGTACACACTTTGTTGGACTTTGTAAAATTTGATCTCTGGCCATTGGTAAAGGTTCTTCGTCGTGATCATGATCTAAATCCTCCTGAGAGCTGGTCACATCTTTGCATACATGCTCATCGTCTTCTTCATCACCATCACCAATATTCATTATTTTCTTTGTATTTGCTTCGGTAAGTGTGTGTTGTCTTTGAAGTTTATTGACAATTTCAGCATCGCCAGCAAAACTTTCTGGCGTTGGCAAATTTGCTATATCGCCAACAGGCGTGTGAACATTAGAAGCGGCATGGACATTACCAGATGGATATTTAGCATCACCTGGAATTAGTAACCCAGCACTTGATATAACATCATCTGTGGCATCCTGCGAACCAATTGATTGCCTTACAATACTGCCCAATTTTGATCGTAACTTATCGAAAGCTGAAAAGTCTAAAATATTAACGGCATAACCATCACCCATTCCTGCAATATGTTGTGATGAATTCGATGACACAAGACTGGTGCGTGATGTTCCATCCACTGTTTCCAATGTGCTTAAATTATTGTCGCATGAAGCTGAGAGTGGTTTTTTCGAGGCTCTTAATTTTCCGGCCCGCTTGAAATGGGCTGCTCCCAAGACAACATTTTTAATGCGATTCCAGCGCAATTGACTTTGAGTCGTACTATCGCTGGGCCATTCGGATTCCAAAACACACCGATTGTAGAAACCATAGGTTAAAGCATTCGGTTGTACACCTGATCTCTTCATAAGATAATGCAGGCGTACGGCCAAAACTGGCATATTATAAGTGCCGCACAATTGCATCATAATGCGATAACAAAATTCATCACAATTAATTTTAATTTTGCTGGCTTTGAGCAACATGTTATAGGCTGCTCTCAACGTTTCGTGTTCTTTGCCTGCACGACGGGCATCCAATACCATGGCAGGTAATATTAGGAAATACAATGAATAACATGTGGCCAATAAATATTTTGACCATAACTCAGGATGACTTTGACAGCGTCGTGCTAATTTTTGGGATAATTTTATTTCATGTTTTGTTCGACGAGCAATGGGTGAGCCGGGTGCTAAACATCCATTGATTTGTTGTTGTATTAAATTATTTAGAGCCGTTTTGGCTGGCGATTTTAGTAGGCTGGGGTTTAAAGTAAAGCTATCGTAATTATAAACAGGATCAGGAACATTTGGATCTATTATATGAAAGGGATTAACAGAATTACAAATGTTTTGTTTTTAATTTTGTGACCCGAAGGAATACCTTTAGAGGGACCAACACTATCAGGAGGAAAGATGTATTTTGTGCGTTCACTGCTTTGACCTGTTTCCCATTCGACCAAACGCACATCCGATGGCGTCTCATCATATGAGCCAACCTTCTCAGCACATTCATCGAAAAATGTTAGGCCATGATCACCATCCGAGACAAAAGATCGCTCCTCAATGAAACGTATAAACATTTGGGTTTTCATTAATAACTCGAAAAATTTATGATAAGCCTGTAAAAATGTCAAACAAACCGCTGCTTTAAATTGAGGTTATGTTGAAATGTCAGGGCAACAAACCTTATCTCGGGAACGTAGAAAAGCTTTCAATTGAAATAAGGCACTAGGGTCAGTGGCACCAACTGAGGGGGCTTTAGAAATCGGTACTAAATAATCGCGATAACCACGTAATATTGATGCCATAAACAAAAGAAATGCTTCTTGTATGCGTTGTTCCAAATGTTGCTGAAATAGATTATGGAATTATAAGAAAACATGATGGACATAAAATATTTTTGGGAGTTTACCTCACGTCTGCGTCTTCTTAAGTCGCGATCCAAACTATTGTTACTGTCTACATTTGATGGTTTCATGGCCTCCAGGCTATCCAGGGTCTGACTTAAAATACGTGCAGCTCGTTTCGGCAATAGTTTTGTAGTCAGATGTTTTTGCGATTCACACAACTTAAGAACAAATAAAATAGAATGAAATAAATTACAATTACATTTCGAATATGTCGTACTTACGCTTATGGTATTTGTATCCAAATCAATGCAAGTGACATCTGTGGGCGGTTCATAAAGATCAAAGAATCGTGAATCAACACCAATTAAATAGGGTACTGGTGCATGCAAAACCTCTGCTAAACCAAGGGGACACAAGGGAATATATGGACATTGCCATTTGAAGGGGAACAACAACGAAACAATGGCCTCAGCAACGGCCGTCAATGTAGCTGGTCTAAAAAATAAATTTTGTTTTTTAGTGTTTTTTTTTCTTGTTATTCGAAATTAAAATTACCTCAATGAGTGAATGAGTATTTTTTGTTCAGTCAAAGCCAATAGCAGGACATGCAAACAATTGTCTGTACCCAAATTTTGTAATAACATATGAAAACCGGCACCACTTCTAGGCAATGGAGAGTCTTCAGGTTGTGTAAGCAGGATACGATCATTTGATTCACTTGATAACTAAGCAAGAACATTTTCAAAGAATATTAATAATGCAAATGATTAAAATATTAATCGTTATATCTTATAATACCTGTAGATGAATACTGGGAGCTGGAAATGGTACCTCATCCAAGAGCTGTGTTATATAACGTTCAATTGGTATTGGCAAATTTTGTCCATAAACTACCATGCGCTAAAATTGTAGAGGAAATAATAATATGTTTTAATTTTTAAAAATGTTTCTGTAGAAGAGAGGTTGAAAATTTTTTGGTTTAGGTTGCAAAATAAATTTTGGGCTAAAATCTGTATTCAGTTAGTCTAAATTAAGGGGTTTTCATAAAAAGATACGGCGAATAAAAGGTTTTCTATAGAAAATCAATGGAAAAAATATTTTATAAAATCTCGACTCAAACAAATAATATAAATTTAAATCTAAGTTCCATAAAAATAGCGTACCCAAACGATTTCTGGTGTGAGAAACATAATTCTGTATGACAATGAGATCTCATATCGACACCGTATATTCCTGTCTCAAACTTTTTAAATACATTTTTAGGATGAACTCGATTTTATTTTGCAACAGACGGATGCATTACTTACATGTAAGTATTTTAGCCATTTGTCGAAAGTATCTCCAAAGGGATAATGAGATAGCAAGCATATAGCCTTTATGATATGCAAAGAATGATTTTGAGCAAATTCTTCATTCCAACCAAGTAATTCGCGTTGTTGATCCGATAGCTTTGATTCACTGAAATAAAAGTTTTTATTTTAAATTAAAATGTATTTCAATTAAAAACAAAAAATAGTTGGTAACTCAAAATTTTTGTTTACTCACTCGAAATCTTCGTAGAAAGTCAATGCTGAACCGTACACCTTATAGGTGCCATCGTTAACGGTCAATACGAATGTACTAAATACTGGCGCTGTGGGTCTACGCTTCTTCATCTTGTCAACATGTGGCCATGCCTCCAGCGAGGCACCCATTGGTAAACAGAATAACGGTACGCTTGGACATAAATTCAATGGAAAATCATTGTGATCCACTGTTGGGTAACGTAATAAAATTTCTGGCTGATAACTGATGTGTTTTGGACGGTACATTGATTTCTTATAGCAGAGATAAACATCACTGCCGGTAAAGGCTTTATTCAACGATTTGTATATCAGACAAAAAGCATGCGGAGGCTTTTCACCCTTACTGCGGACAATGACACACAAATCGGTAACAACCAATTCGTTACATGGCATATCGGCGGGTGCACGACGATACGTTAAAAACGTTTTTGCCGATGAATTGTTGACATTGGCAATACGACCGCCAGGAGTTTCGGCAACAATTTCAGCATCAGACATAATACGTTCTTGACCCTCGTACAAAACACCTGATGATTATGAAATAAATAAAGAAATGTGAAAAGGTATTATCAGTTTTAGAGTTTTAGTATACATTCCAATACATACCGATATCCACTAAAGGTGGGCGATCTTTGCCTCGTCTAAAGTATATGAAACATTCTGTCGATCTTAGTGAACCAAAATTTAAATTGGCCGGCAAACCGGTGGGAGTTGATTCCAAAACTTCATAGCCCTCAGGCACTTCTTCGCCCAGTAGTGGAAAGAATACACCAATATCGGTAATTGGTTCTATTGAATTGGCTGCTCGCAAATGACCCGATTCTTTGAAATTACTTTCTTGCAACAATTGTGGATTTTCGGGCATACCGGCCACCACAAAGTAATCCGCTATCCGACGTTCCTCCATGGTAACTTAAAAAACAAAACAAAGTGCACACACCGTTTCACATATGTATCTAAAATAAAACAACAACAACAACACTGACGACCGACTGCTGCCGTTCTTTACTACACGATGCGTCGTTTTTTCTGCTAGTGGGGCTATTTACAACAAACATTGATGAGACATGTAGATTTGTATGATGAATTGTATAATGTCCTTGACAATCGACAAAAACACATGAATGACTATTGAGAACAGTGGTCGTCGTCGCTGTGGTCACCGTCGAAGGCTGTTGGTGGCTGCAAGGAAATGTTGGAGTTCGAAAACAAGTTCTTCTTGTTTCGTTCGTTCTTTTTTCACAAAGGGATACAACAAAGCCAGCCAGCCAAAGCCAGCAGCAGCAGACAACTTTATCGATGATGATTCAATATTGTGAATAGCAGCTACTCCTCCCTTCTTTTTTAACTTTTTCAGCAAAATTATTCAATTCTTTGATGATTTGTGCAATAAAAGCAGCTGGTGCTGCACCACCTTAAGATTGACTCGAACTCTGTGCTATTTTAGTTTCGTTAATTTTACTATTTTTTATATATTTTTTTAATTTTTATGTATTTACTACGTCAAGCAACGTCAACGAGGGCGACCCAGTCTACCTAATCTAAAGTCGTCCGACGATACGAACAGGGGAGACAGCAGAGAATGTCTGATAAAAACCAAGATCGAAATGAAAAATGGAAGGCACCCATCATATGTTTACGAATGAGTGTAAGACAAAATGCCGTGGAATCTGTCAATGTTTAGAATGTGACATGGAAGAATGTCAATCAGCTGTTTGAGAAGGGAACCAATTAAGAGGTATACACACCATCAGTTTGGTATGTCAGCGTTATTTTTGGATACCTGAAGACTCACAGCCCCCGGATTTTTTATTCAACTTCCCCACTATGGCAAAATGTTTTGTACGGCCGTATTGCCCAAATACGTCGAATCCATTTCTCTTAGCGTACTAAACAAAATTGCGAAATAAAATTAAAAAATTATAAAATGTGTTTAAATATTTCATATTCTTATTTAAAAAATTATATTTCTTTATGTTTTGTCTCTTTTTTCAACAAAAGAAAAAAAAAAAACAAAACTACGTTCTGTCATAGCTGAATTTTTTCAACTTTGAAAATTTGTACGTCAACGTATTTCGGTAACATTCATATAAATACATATGTTCTACTTTTGTGGTGAAAAACGTCGAACAAGCTAGTTGAATTTTAGGTAAGGCTGTTAATAGTGAATATTAGGATATGAATTTTTATTGTTTCCCATCGTCTTTACATTACAATGAATTGGGTTAATTTAATTTTTAATTTATTTATTCACAATAATTTCAAAGTCCGCAGACCACATTTAAGAAATTACCAGTTTACAAATCTCATAATTACACTTATAATAAACAATAACGCGAAAATCCTCGACTAAAAAATAAAACAAGAAAATCTTAACAATCACGATAACAATTGCGGGCCAAGAATAATACATGTACATTTCACTAACTTGACAAGCAATACTAGTAAAAGTAGTAATTATTCACAGAAACCCAAACAAAAATTTTGACTGCAACTAAGATTCTACTCGAAGATCGAGCGGAAATAGCTTAATATATAAAAAATAATAAAAAAGTTACTCTATAATGTTATCGTGGTTATTAAAACAGTATTAAAAAAAAAAATACAAAAATTGAGGCACTTATCATTACAATAAAATTAATTAACAATAATTTATACAACTGTTATCACAAGAAGGATGGGATCAACTCAAGTATCTGTAATAATAAAATTCATTTTACAATATTAATTAAAAGATAGAAAAAAATATAAACATAAATATAATTAAACAGGATTGGGTCTACTCAAATAAATGATACAGGGAGTATTATTAATTATGGTATAATAAATAGAGGGTATCTTACAAAATGTAATTATATAGGATGGGGTCTACTCAATAAAATGAAATAATAATTATAATTATAGGAAAAAGTCTAGTTTAGGGCCTCCTCGCTAATCGTTTTGAAATTTGTACCACATATAGTTCTTGGGGCGCTGATTACAATGGTATACTTTTTTTCTTGCGGGAATCGATATTTCCGTACCTCCAAATTTCCGTTGGGAGCCTTGTATTTTCTCATGATTTTTAAAATTACTAAGGCAATATGGGTATCAATTTAAAGCGACTGTTGTAATCATGTTGGGGTCCTGATTGTTACATGTGGTAAAAATTTCAAAACGATTCGCAAGCGGGGGGCTTAAACTACCAAAAAAGCAAAATTTGTGCCAAATCCAATGGGTTTAAAGAAACGAAAGATCCCTCTACAAAATGTTATCTATGACAACAACGGCGGGGCACGGTGAAACATTTGATCCCTTAAACCAACGCTTTTAACTATATATCCTACTCAATAATTTTGAAGAAACAGTTCATTTTTTCAATGTCTGCATGTCGCTAGGTACTTTCATACTTCACAGATAGGTCTCAATTTGTTAAAATCAATAGTGTAAGATCTAGTATTGCGTTTGGTTTCCCACAGGGATCTGTCCTTGGACATTTTTTTCTTCTTTTCAATGCACAACAGGACAGTCCTGATTTCTTAGAAGAAAAAATAAATTTTTCTTTCGTAAGAACATTTGATTGGGCAAATAGAAATTGCTTTTTGGTAAACCCGTCAATATCTAAGACCATTTTGTTCGGAGTTCTGAGGTTAATCTTAAAATTTTTTGTGTAAGTGTAAAGAATTCACTTCAAACGGGTGTTATGATCTACGCTAAACTAAGATGTATTGTGTCCGATTTGTGTCCTGATAGTTGTCTTTTAGGCTGCGATTTTTATTTTTTATGTTAAATTCATTCGTTAACACTCAAGCTTAGGGGTCAATACATTTTTCACCTAATACTTAGCAAAAGGTCTGCCCCATCCTATGAGTGTGCCTAGGGTAAAGTTAAAATGCTTCTGAGGATTGAATAAGTGTTTCGGTACTGACATTTTTAAAAGCTTCCTTGATAATAATGCAAACATCATACTATTTGCCATATTCGCAAAAAAAAAAAAAAAAAAAAAAAAACGTAACATTTTACAGGAGAAGGTATTTTTTTAATAAATTCAGATTTTTGAATCGGTATCGTTTGCCTAGTTTTGTTTATCTTTGTTGTATTAGTTCGGCTGTAGGCTTTTTTAAAAGTAAAAATCGTTTTTAATTTTGATGTTTAATATTTATTGTTTCCAATATTTCGATTGGATTCTCCAATCATCCACAGGGAACTACAATTACATATATTTTAACAGATTTTAAAACAACAATAACAATATGTAAATAAACTTACTTGAAGAAAGTTATGTTGTCTTTAAGTCAACGTTCTTGCTTCAACTAAAGTCTAACAGATTTGTATTTGTTTACTGTGTGTCTATAGATTTGAGCGCAGTTGTTGTCAGATTTAATAAAGCTATTATTTTGAAATTTAGAATTATAGCTTTAGTTTTGCTTTAAACTATATCTAAATTTCAAAATAATGAATTTATTACAAAAAACCTTCTACTGTAAAATTTCAAATTTGTGGGTTACGTTTTTGGCGAATATGTCTCGATATATTCTAAATAACAACATCAGCAATTAAAAAGAAAAACAGATAACAAAAGATTTTTTTTTCATAACAATAAAAACAAATTTATTATTCACACATTAAAAAAAATTCATATAATTTATATAAAAAGTAATCTAAAACAAAATAAATAACATTTTAACATAAAACTAATTCAATTATATTATTCAGTTAAATTATTTAAAAAAGTATTTTTTTTTATAAATTTCAAGTTAAAAATAATATTATTGGACTGTTTCCGTACTCAAAAAGTGGTAACACTTTTCAATTTTATAAATGGTAATCAAAAATAATTTCGATCCATAGAAGATTTTTGCAGATTCTGGAACAGATCTATAGATATTTTTGTAGTATTTTGTTAAAAAAATAGATACTTTATATGGGCAAGCGTAAAACCATTCATTACATAAATTAGTTATTATACTACCAAAAATATGGTGGAAGACAATTAGAACTCGTGTGTGATGGATTTGGCGCATATGTTACGGTGCAACAAATATTTGGATTTTGAGAGGATATAATTGGTGTTTGATTTTGTATTAATATAGTATTGTTATCTAGATTTGACACTGTCATCATAGCTGTAGGTTGTGCAACTACTTGTTGCGATATATTGTAATTTAATAATCTTGGTAACTGATTTGAAGCACGCGAAGCGGTTGTTGTCATTGTGGGATGTGACGATTTAAATATTGGTGGTTCTGCAATCGATAAAGTATTGTGGCATGAAATTGTTTCCATTGCTTTATTAGCATTGACTTGCAATTGTGTTGTTGGCTTTTCAATTGCAGTGTATGCTTCACACGACTGTTGTTGTGGATTTTGTTGTGTGGTGTGACATGATGTCTGGAGTAAACTTTCCATAGCAATACATTTCAGTTTTGGTTTTTCTTTAATATTTTCAATTTGTTTCAATTCTCGTTCATAGTTTTCTATGATAACATCATTTTCGTCTAATAGCATGACATCTTTATGATTATCTCCGCCGCCATCATCATCATCGACCGGTTCCTCTTTCACAATATACTCAACTGCTGTATTCTGTTGAGGATTTTTAATTTGTACTTTAAAATTCCTTATAGAAATCAAGTGAATGTCATAAATTGAAGTCAATTCACAGCGAATTTTAATTTCGTCATTACGATGATTGTGTTGAAAATGATCAGCGGCAAATTTCATTGACTCAATTGGCTTGTGACAACATTCACAATAATAATTTAAAATGAGTTTGTGATAATTCTTCAGATGTAAAACAAAAAGTCCTGCATCCATATTCTGCTCCTCACAACAGAAACAAGTAGTCATGCTAGAGAAGGATATATGGCCATTGGCAAAGACCAGGGCCAAGTTGAAATATAAATTCTTATTTTCTTTGTGAGTAAAATTTATCACGTG